GGTGTGAAATTCAACGTATATTAAAAAAGAAGAAGATATAACTGTTTTCATATTTACACTAGTATATTAAACAATTTCCAAATCATCTTTCTGTGCATTAATGAAAGAAAGGCATGTTGTACACTAATGAACAGAAAAAGTCACTGCGATGTTGGACTCCAGAGACTCAAAGTCAAAAATATTTAATCACAGATGACGGATAAGCCGAAGCGAATCGGTACACTATTTAACCTTTTTCCTGGCCTGTATGCTCAGATGGGCTCTAACATATTTTCCCCGTCACCACCTGCAGCAGCATGTGAAACATGATTCATTGCTCACTAAATGTAACAACATCAGCTGTTGTATCTCGCCGGCAGGCATATGGCGGGCTATAGCAGCAGGCGGGACTTGGACGGAGATATGGTAGTGATGCATAAGGCTAAAACAGGTAGAATGATGGGAGGTGTGCATGAGGCTAGCACACGCAACAGAAGAGGAATTGAAGCAGACAAACCGCTTTGGTCATTTGTGACTTTGTTTCTTTTTGGGTTTAGATGACTTTAAAACTACAATTCCCAGGAGACTCTGCAGTAGTTTCTGTATGTGAGATGGCTCAATGCCACTGTTTTAAGTTGCTGGATGTTCCATCAGTTTTATTAAAAGCCTCCTAGCAGCACAGTTCAAGTACGCGGAGAGTAATAGTCATTAGACAGGCTCAGTTCTATGTCTTTAACATTGATGGGATTTACATGTCTATTTTAGTGTGGAAAGGTTCCGGCTATTAGTTAGTGAGCCAACGATAAATAAAGACTTTTACTTCTAAGCCCTGCTAAAGCCTAGATGAACTCTCCCTGCTGAACAGCTCTGTTAGAATGACAGAGGGGTTTTTTTGTCACATTTTTTCTTTGTTTTCCTAATTTAATGTCCAGAAGAGAGGATAACACAAAGGCTTTGGCTAAAGGTGCAGCAGAGCGTGATGCTAATGCTCCTGAAGATCAGACAGGGACCGTAACAATGCTAAAGCTATAGGGAACGGCAATACACACATCTATGCTTTTTCCCCCAGATATTTATGGTTATGCTGAGTTCCACAAGGCAAAGTTTCAGAATCCTAACTTTAGTGTAACCCGTGGACGCGATTGGGTTTGTCTTGCATTCATCTTTCGGCAGGACCTCTCCAAGGCTTATAAATGCATTTCTATTAAATTGGGCTGAGCAGACAGGCTTCATTGCCAAAGAGCACTTGATTCGATTTCAGGGGGTGTTCTGGATCTCGGATTTCCGCCATCAGATGGTAATCCTTTTTTAAGCCATAACAAAGATAAAGACTTGACTCTAAATCCTTAGGGTGTGTTTGCAGTTCGAGGTTGTGTGAGAGCAGAGCGGAGTGTTTCCACGTGTGTTTTGGCGTGCCCATCCCCCAATCACGCACACGGATTTCCAATCTGACATTAAACCACAGTTTCTCTTGCAGTTCACCTTTTATTAGTTTCTGATTTGGGGTTTTGTGCTCTTTTATTAAACGTCTCAAGATGCTGATTTTTTTTGTCCTTCTTGTTTGAGAAAAAGCAGTGAACAAATTAATTTTAAAAAAGGGGGAGAAAGAAAAACATAGTAAATTTCCTCCTATCTTGCTTATTGATTTGTCTTCCCAGAGCTGCCACAGTGTGGTGCCCGCTTGGAGACAGCGTGGCTCGTTTCCCAGCAAGTGGTTTCCATGGCGACGGGTAGCCACGTAGTCATGGCGGCCGTTCAGGCCAGGGCGGTGGCTGTAGGGAGGCGAGGGGTGGAGTGGGGTGGGGTGTGTAGATGGCAGACTATTAATAGAGCTTATGGGGAGCCAGCTGCAGAAAGCCTCAGCCTCATGGCACCTCGTCAGACATCCAGTCACACACGTTTTGGTCTGTGTTTTTGAGAGTGTAGAAGTGTGCATTGCCCTGTATGTGTTTGTGTGTGGTCAGCCTGTGTACCGTGTGTGAGTAGCACACTGGAAGACACT